CACAAACCTGCTATCTTCAGTCCCACCAAAACCCCTCCCTCATGGGCCTGCTAGCCCCCTCCAAGGACTCTAGGCTCCCCTAATCCCTCTCACCTCTTCCTGCATCGTGGCATACCTAGATTAGCCTGACGGCACCCCTGAATGTTTGTACAGTGGACATATAATCTACATTGCACAGTCGTGCAGAAGGGCTGTGAAGGGATGAAGAAGACCTAGCTTCAAAATAAATCCCTCTGTACAGATTGCATACTGGCTGCCATAAGTTAAAAGATTCCCAGGGAATCCACTTTTGCTATATTGCGATCTACACTGAACAATATGGTCCTGTTATTTCCACATGCAACTGGCCAAATAATGAAAGATAAACTCTTGAGGAATTTGTCATTTAAGAACAACTTTCAAAAGTAGGAGCAGTAAGAATAGTACAAGTGCATCAAAATCACTAGTGATGACAGTGTATGTAATGTCATCAAATTTGACTTGATAATGATTTTCATTAAGTTTGATTGCTACTGGGTATCTTTGTGTTTCTGCTAGTTGCTTTTGAAACAGATTATAAAATAAACAAGTTAGTTAACCTGAAGAGGTGGCTGCTGGGGAATTTTGTTACATAGCTTTCAATGTCTAAGTGTATCTTACCCATTGGATGCATTGCTAAATTAGATTGGAGGAAAGGACTGTTAGGGCTTTGAGCGGTACTGAACTGAGAATAGGCTGGCAATTTGGATTTCAAGTGTATAATTTGATTTAGAAATCAAATCACTTTAGAAATTTAGACCCTGTAAATATATTTTAAATGTTTGTATTATTAAAAAGAGCAAAACCTAGGTACTTGGTGCATAGAAAGGGATTTTGTGTATATATTTAGACAGCAATTCTGTGTTGTAATATGTTTCTACAAACAATGGGAAGACTTTTTCTGACTTTACTGAAAGTTAGTTCTGGACGTTTCACAGAATTATTTCAGAAAAGTATACTATTGGTGTCTTCTCCATAACATAGTTTGTATTATTTTAAGCAAATTTCTCTGGCAAAATTGAGAACATAAATAATTTTTAAACGGAAAGATAAAACTAAATCTTGCACACAAATGCACAGTTATAACAACTCCATTTTTTTCTCTTAAAACAAAACCAAAAACAATTCATCAGCTTTTTAACACTAGCTGTCATCAAACAGCAGAATCTAGGTTTTAATTAAATATAGCTTTTTTCCCCTTAATTAAAATGAGAAAGTGCTATTTTCTTATTTCAACACATCAAAGATAATGAGACACACGGAGTGAAATTGTTAAAATTCTTAAGGGTTTTTATTGGGAAAGGTATTTTTTGCATAAAAATGATTTTTCATGATTGAAAATAAAAATTCCAGTAGTTACGACAGTTGATAGTTGGGACTGTAGTGCACCTTTAACCAGGGTACTGGACCTCCATAAATTAAACCATCAATTATTAATATGCACCATTTTTTTTCTTATTGAGAACTTTTGGGAAATGTTAAATGAATTTGTGATTGATAGCAGGGTACAAAGTTTAAAGCACCTGTTTTTAAAAAAATTGCCTGCTTAACCTTGTGCAGTACTATAACATGGCACTTGAGAATTGGAAACAAACACACAGCAGTAAGAAGTGCTGCCAAAATAGCTGTATTTACTAACTCAACTTGACTGAGCTATAAGAGAGAGCATTTGAAACACCCAATATACTTCTTGAGAATGAATTTACAGTAGCACTTTATTTTAGTAGGATTTGTAATCAATTACATAATAATGTAGAGCTTGCCTATACTTCTTGACACATGGCAGCCTAAAAGCTACCTGTAAATATTTAATAAGCCCATCCTTCCAGTGCTTACTGAAAAGTAAAATCCCAATGATGTATAACATTGATGAGGCAGGGAATCAAAAAATAAATAATATTGGAAGTCCTGTCTTCAGTTCTTTGTCATTTGTTTGGTTTCTAAGTGTTTGGTCTACTATTTGTCTTCTCTGTCACATATTAGAAGGTTGATTATTTTAAAATGTGTTTTTAAAGAAAGTTTACAATTATACCCTTGGATGTGGGGTATATTAGCCTCAAAAATAAACCCTTCTGTACAGATTATATAATAATCCCATTATTAAGAGGTTCCCAGAATTTGGCATTATTTTCAGGATTGCAGTCAGATTTACCCATTTGCTTACTATACTGGCTCTCAGTGGGGTTGTACATTAAACATCAGATCTCTGTTCTTACCTTTAAAACAATTAATAGTCTACACCTGGGATACCTTAAACATAGTAACAGATGTTGGATACCCTTCTTCCATTGGCTTGTTGGAAATATTTTCATCCTGTGGAAAGCTTATCAGTGGAGGAAATGGAGATTTTCCTGAAGCTTGCTTAGGACTAGAATGATCTTCTCCAGTATGAATATCTAACTACCACCTCAGCTTCATCAGTTTTGTTTTTTTGAGCCACTTCAACTTCAATCTTCAATCCCATTTTAACTAATGATAACAAACACACAGCAAAGTATTTTCAGAACTAGATTGTCTTAAAAATATCCTTACAATCATTGACTTGTATAGAGTTGTGGAGAAATAAGACTATCAGATGTGGCAAATGCTATGGGTTGGTTTTCGTTTTTAAATTAACTGCTAGAATTTGGTTGTCACTTCTACTTAAAAGAAGATAAGCTAGTGATGGAATAGTCTGGGAGCTAAACATTTTAGTCTTTTATTGACTTTTTTTTAAAATTTTGAAATGCATTGGCATGAAAGAAAACAACTATATTTTAATTTTCACTGTTCCTGGGCTTTGTTGTACTTCCCTTGGAGGAGCTTGGCATCTGCTTTGGGAAGCCAGTATTACAAGTCAAAACTTCCTGGGTGAGACACTACATTGGGGGACTAGAAAGGTGTTATATACCAAAATCATCAATGACAAATGACAGTTCTTGTTAATATGTATTTTAATGAATTAGTAAGTGGAAATGCCAACTGTTAAATATCTGAAAGTAAAGTTAAGGTGCAATTTTTCAAAAGTGTATTTCTCACCCAGGGTTCACTTCGGCATGAATGGTTCCATGCATATTAATCCTGTTGCAAGCAAAAACAAGAATGAAATATCACCAGTTCTGGAAATACAGCTTACTGATGATTTGGTTTGTTTTTTTGATGCTACAGTAGAGATTAGGTAAAGTAAAATATTTCTTTCATATTCAGTTTACCATATGCTTAATATACAATTTCTTTAGAAGATAATATTGAAGACAATAGCTTGCATTATACGGTGGCTTTCATATGAAATGCTTTGACATTGTTATAAACAGTGATTAATTTAACTACCTAAATATCCAAGTTGTGTAGGCCAGTATAATTTTCCCTGTTTCATGCACAGTGAGGTACATAAACTGTCTTTTTGAAAGTTCTGTAAAGAAGTGTTTTTCAACCTTTTAGAGCCGCATTGATAGCCCTGCACCTTAGGCACATGGCACCCCTCAGAAAATGCGAGCTATTAGTTTTCACTTGTTTCTTGACTATGGAAAAATAATAGAATAATTCTTCTGTTGTCAAGAACTCAGATCACAACAGAGCAGAATGTCTTTAAGCACTATGGATTAATTATTTGAAATCTCTAAATTTATGTTGTGAATCATGTTTTACATGTAATAGTGCTAACATTGTGTGCTACCTCACAGCACCCTTGAAAGAATCTCAAGGCACCCCAGGTGCCTCAGTACCATGGTTGAGAATCACTACTACAGAGAGTTCAGTGGCAGGTTGGGAATTAAACCCATTATATTGGTTTCTGCCATCAACTCTAGCTACTGAACATAGTCCTTCCTTCATTTGCCCTTAAGGTCAGAAAACCTGCAGTCAGGCCTAAGAAGGTGGCCTGTTGCTTTGACACTGTTCAAAGGACAGGATCTGGCTCTGTAATAATTACTTGTTTGTTCCACCCCCAATATTTATATAAGGCTATTTTTATTAGAATTACATGACTTGTTATTTCCCAAAAAAGTATTTTACATATTTCTAGTCATTGGCACTAGAGAGAAATAAGATCATTTCAAGACTTGTTCACTTTGAGCCTTAAGATGAAAAGGGCTGTATAAGTACAAAGTAGCTTTTTTATGTATGTATGTGTGTGTATGTATGTATATGCATTTCATATTATACGTAAACAATATATGAAAATATTTCTTTGACTCCTGCCATGGTTTTTGAATGTTTCCTGTAATTTATAGTTGCGTTTAATTTGAGCATTGGTTAACATTTATCAGAATAAGGTTTTGTCGTTTTTAGCATTCACAGTGTAATGTGGTTCAATAGTCCTTTACTATGATGGGCTTTTTTAACTGTTAAACTAATACCGGATGTACTAATTAGTATTATAAGAGAACAGATAGCTCCTTTCAAATACATTAGCACTTGTCCTTTTCTGAAAAATGAAAATAGGATTTTTCATTTCAAAGCCTGAGGAATATTTGTCATCTAAATGACATATGTAGCTATACATAAACACTTGAACTGTGAAACAATGGTGGCAACTGGATGGACATTCAGATCTGGTTTAGGTCAGGAATAAAGCAAATCTGATGATATCTCTGTGTCCTCAGACACTAAAGACACCAAACTAACAGCCTGATAATGAAATAAATTGCACTGTGAAAGCTGTGCTTTGTACTAGAGCTGCATTAAAGTAGATTTCCCAGTTCTGTTATCCAATATGATATAAATATGGCTTCTATTGATTAAGTAATTCACAGTCTCTATTGTACTTGTCTTTGTATGTTCCATCTCTATAGAATACCTCTGTTTAGTAGAGGGGAAACTGAGATCCAAGAGAAGAAATTATTTGCCCAAGGTCATACAGGAAGTTAGCGCATGAAATTGACCCCAAGTTTCAGGCAGGTGCCATGACAAATGGATCATGTTAATTATGACTGACACTGTGCAGCAGATGCCCAGTTTTGGAAATGGTATTTAAATACAGAGCCCTGGAAATTATTCTTACAGTTGTTCTGAACAAAGATATAGTACACCTGTCCTGGTACTAGCCTGTTCCATTTATTTGTCAGTTAGAACCGTCATACATTTTTTGAAAGGAAAATGCTTCTGTCTGCCATGGTTTTTGGATCTCTTTATAGCATATTATAACAATTTTAATTGCTTGTTTGAAAATCCTGCACATGGTTAAATTGTTGCCCTGTTTGTGGAAGTTAGAGGATTTTTGTCTGTCTTTCAGGAATGCAGTTGAAAGTGAGCAGAAAGTAAGAATGATGGAAAGCCTGGATGTATGCTCTCCAAAATTTAGTTTCTTGAGAGCAAAAAGTGAGATTAAGCAGCAGACAGTCCGCATGTTATGTGATGTGTTATTGGATCAAGCAGTGTTACCTGGTGTGGGAAATATCATAAAAAATGAAGCTCTCTTTGACAGTGGTCTCCATCCAGCTATTAAAGTAGGTGAAATATTTCGAGGAATGTTCTCAAATTCTCTCTTTGCAGGGAACATAAACACAAACAATGTTTCATTTTTTGTGGGGAGGAAAGTTGTTTTCATCTGAATAATTCTCTCTCTTCCTTCTTTAGTTTTCCCTGTCCTCCGTTCTTTTGACCCTCCTGACCCCTACCAGTTGTGCTTGCTCATCCTCCTCCATGGGAGCTAGTTGGCACTGGAGCCTGTTGGCACTGTTTATGTATTGGTTGGTAGAATTACTACTGGACTGAGTAAGGGTTGTGCTTGCTACATCTGCAACTCAGATGCCTTCTTAACCAAGAATTAATTTAATTTTGAGACGCTGACCTTCTGTTTTGCACTGTTATTCAACCATGAAATCGCCAAGCCAAGCAATTATAAAGTAAATTAATTAGGAGGTAACAACAGTCACATTTTCCTTCTTGAGTATCTACAAAATATGTCTTTGTTTTGTTTCACTTTGCCTTCTTTATATTCATTTACTTTTGTTCCTCACACTTTGGTTGGCTATATTTTTTCCCTTGTTTTGCATATGCCAGACCTCTTCTGATGTGAGGATCCAAACATGGAGGGGAATTCTCTGTCTTTCAGGAGGAATCTGCTTTAATAATCCCTAAACAATCGTAGATCTCATGGATTCTTAAGTAGGACAAGGTTGCCCAGAGGGGGAGAGTGATTATTCCAAGTCAACTGAATAAAAATCTTTCTAGCTTTTAACTATATGAAAACTAAATCAAAATAAGGTACAAAATTAATGGGGACCCATTTTGGAGTTGAGGGATAGCTTATCTCAGCCTGACCCTAACCTTGTAGGTTAGACTTTAAGCCTTTGCTTTAATGCTTACTGTTGACTCCTATACTGGGTGTAATTAACCCTCCCTCCCCAGTCCCATTTTTTTTTACCACTGTTTCAGCCAAACTGGCTTAGTCTGCTCCAGAGTTTTGATTCAGGACACACTCAGAAAGCCTGCAATACCTACCTGCAATGCCCTCCACTCTGGCAGAAGTTACTCTACTTCTTCCAAGTGGAACAAGGCTTCTGGCATTACCCAGCAAGACTGTTACAGAGAATCCTACATCTTGATTCAGCTGCTACAGTTCATTTTGTCACCTTCCTCAGATACATTTGGTACCCTGGTACCATATTTGCTGCAATGTAGCTGTATATGGATGTGCACATGCTTTGGAGGCAGACAGCAGCTGCTGCCAGAGCTTTTGAGTATAGGTGTAACCACTGGTTATAATCAGCGTTAGTTGTACTTTTGCTGTGTCTTCTGCAGCCAGAGTCAGTTTTATTGTCACGTCTTATAAATGTTTGTTCAGTAGGCTTAATACAAATTATGCCTAAACACCATTCCAGCTGCCAGAGGCTTGTCTGCACTTTGGTTCCCACTAATTTTAACATTGGTTTAACTGAATTGGTGGTGAATTCTTTGGGGTAAGTGTCCCTTTCATAGGAACGGCTCTAAAGTGCAGATGGTTCTTTCTCTTCTGCAGGTGTTTTGTTCACTCTGTCTGCCTTTCTCACAGTCTGAGCCCTGCAACTTCAACAAAACAACTTTCCACCTGATAATGAAAGCCAGGTTCATATGTTGAAACCCTTTGCCCTTCGACTTTCTCCCCCCTAAATTACAGGGTAAACAAAAATGTCTTGTGGTATGTCCTTGTGGGTTAATAAATCTGGACTCCGGGAGTGCAAAGGAGAAAGAATTTCAAAGTTCGGAAACCTAACAAAAATGTTGTTAGCTACTGTCTTCTGATTAAACTGAGGAGCCTTTAGCTCAAGTGTGTCCATGGAGATGTCACACAGGAGAGGAGCATCCTATCTGATAACAAGGTTCTAAATCATTTAGGTCTTTCCAGGTTAACAGCAACATCTTAAAATCTACTGTGAAACCAAGAGGCAACCAGTGCGGATAACTACCTGAAATAAAACCCACTCTACTCTCCATCTATTGGGAACTTTTAGGTCAACAGAGAAGCAAAATGCTGATATATGGTTCCTCTCCCCCCTCCCAACCCACCCAAAGAATGAGGGAAAGCATCACAAACTAAGATGCTGTAGAGCAGTAAATAATGCAAAAGAAGAGGAAAAATAAGATACAGGACCCTGAGCACCTGTCTGAGTTTTCTCTTTGTCTGTGTAAAATCACTGTTTTAAGTCACTTCACTATGGTTTCTAAATGTATTCATGTTGCCTTAAAAACCAGGGGGTTGCTGGTTTTCCTCCCAAATGAACAGCAGACAGCAGGGTTGATATTGCCTTAAAGTATGCTTGAGTTTTCTCCAAGCGAGCGCCCAGTTACCTTCTCCTCCAAGCGAGCGCGCAGTTAATTCTTCAATAAACCAGTATATTGAATAAACCTTTTATTGAGCATTATAAAGTATTAACTCCAAGCATTATTAAGATATAATCTTAATAGTTTTAGTAATCTTAGCAAGATATAATCTTAGCAAACAGTAATTGTATATTACCAGTATCACACATCTCGAGAGCTGGCCAGGCATCCTCAGGGCAGGCTGGTTCCTTAAAGGGAGAGCAGATGTCTTCAGTTCTCAGGCATCGCTGGGGTGGGGGAAGAGGATGCTTCTTCTCTTTGTTCAGGTAGTAATATTTATAGTCCTTTAGTCACGTAACTACCAATTACGTAACTTTCTGTTTTTCATCCTCAACCTGATTTATGTCTTCACTTTATCACTGTTTCCCTCTTTTCTTGGTACCAGGAGCCATCTGCTCCAGATATGGGTAGAATGCTCCATAACAAGCCTTTTTTATCAGACTCTTGCAGAAAAACAAGCTACATCAGACCCTTTTTTCTGTAGATAGCGGGTTACACAATTGCATAACTCTGTGAATGTACTCTTAGCTTACTTATGTCAAGGCTACTTTAAGCCTTGCAGACCCAAGGGACAATTTCAGTCCTGTCAAGCATCAAGAGGCTAAACTGGCTCCACATTAACATTGTAGAAATTTGCTATATCAAAGTATTGCCTTATTCTCAGGTTTGTCAGCTGACAGATGAACAGATACACCACCTGGTGAAAATGACCCGTGATTTTACTCTTCTTTTTTATAAGGTAAGGACAAGAATTTCTAAGACAGCATCCTCTGAAACTTTCCACCAAAATATATACTCCGTATATAGCCGTCTAGTGGAAATGGTGAAAAATAGAAAAGCTGTAAGACAATGCATTAGAAATGGGAATGAAGTTTGGTTTATATGCTATTAAGCCCACCATTTATTAGAAAGTGAATAGGGGGTGAAAGCATGCAGGCAATTGTATCTATCCTTTTTTATCTATAACATTGTTGAACAGCCAGTGCCTGGATTTTTAAATAGCTTTTGACATTTCACAGCTAGTACCCTGCAAGACCATGTCCATGTGTATGCATATAATCAAATACTTTCAGAATAATAGGCTAGAGTTGGAGTATTAGATCTCCAAGGCTACTTGGGAAATAACCCTGGTGAGAAACTGGCTGCCATCCTGAACTGATGGGTAGAGGGATGGTTTGGGGATTCTTACCAGGGGATTCTGCTGGAGGGACTGCTCTTTCTTCTTGTTCAATCTGTAGTTCATAGGTGTTTGATAAACTTGAAACTAGCCATTTGGCTGATGGAAGTTGTTTGGAAGGTGCTTCGTCTTTCTCTGCCCAACCCTACAGCATCAGTAGTTGTCCTGTTCTTCCCCAAGGAACACTCCAGTGCCTGCTGGCAGCTGTTGTTGTTCCTTTACTTTCCAAAATAAATGGGATAAAGTTGACCCGATTTTTGTCTCTTTTACATCCCCATACAGAGATATGAGCTACAGCACTGAAATGATCTAATATCAAGTATATTTGTACTTGGTTAGTACCCGTTAAAGATATAAGGACTAAGGATCAGGTCCTGTTCCACTCTGCTCAAGTCCCTTGAAAACCATTAATGCCAAAGGGAGTGTTTTTTGTTCTTATTGCTTTTTGTGACTTAGTCTTAAGGCTAAAATAGAAATAGTAGATATATTAACTGCTTTCCCGGAACTTGAACTTGGTGAAATAGGACCGTGCTTTCTTGCCAATAGGTGGGATAAGTTGAAACTTGAAGTGTCTCTGGATAGTTGCATAGTTTCCCAAAGATGGTCCTGAATCATGTTTTGAAAGTTAGTGTCACAACTAAGAGCTAGAGTCATAACTTTTTAATGGAGGGTTTCCATTTTGCAAGAATAGATTATATTAATTCCTTAATTCAGTAGTGTTACTGAGGGAGTTGATACTGGCAGCAGCCCTGGGTGCCACTTATGATGTGGGAGGTTGCAAAAATATCTGCCACTGCAGTGGCCGCTGGTTGCTGCAATGGGCACAAAGGCAGCCAGTGATACCCCATGCGTCCCTGCTGCCCTAAGCATGGCCATGGTTGTGTGTGTGTGTGGGTGTGTGTGTGTGTGTGTGTGCGCGCGCTGAACTTAATGCTCTTGGTGTTTGCTAGGCATGCTCAAAGCATACATATCAGATTGGCCCCCTTCAGTAATTTGGGTGCCAGTATCTAGTTTCTCAATGCAAATAGGACTTAGGTGGGAGTTGCCTAGCTCCTCAAGGAGGGTGTGGGGAGAAATGCTGGTGCCTAGAGAACTTATAGGTGAAAACAGGTACCCAGTGAGACTGGATACCTCCTGGGTTAGGGATATTTCTTTGATTTTTGGCCCATAATTCTGAACATATAACAGAAAATCAGGAAGAACTCAACTGAGAATGAATAGTTAAGTGTATTAATTTATGAACGAGTCAGAGACAAAGACAATAGCAGAGTGTGACTGTTTTCAGTATTTTTTCTTAACATATTTTTATCTGCACGGTTGTTGATTTATGTGTGTGCACATGTATAAATATTATTTAAAATTGTGAATTTTCATTGAAAGATCAGGAGGACTAGAATCAGATCAAATCTGTACCTCAAAATCTCATTATAAATATGTTCTGTTTTAGTGCCGCAAGACTGGATCTGCACTCTATAAACATTACAAGGTATACAAACGTCCAAACTGTGGCCAATGCAATGGAAAGATCACTGTTTGCCGTCTAGGAGAGAATAACAGGATGACATACTTCTGTCCTCAGTGTCAGAAGGACAGGCCTCAGCTTGTTGACGTAAAGTATGACATTTGCTTTCAAACCCTTTAAAGTGTGGCTCTGCTTAGCGTAGATGCTGATGTAGAAGTAATGTACTCGTCTTACTCAAATAGTTCTGATTCCTTGGTGTATTCAAAACTGTATGTTTTGCTTCCACTGTGGGTTTTTTCCCTCTTGTTCTGTTAGCAGTTCAGAGGCAGCTCAGTTGAGAGAGAGAGAAGAATTAAATTTCTATTTGCACATCAGAGCTGTTGACTAAATTCCAGTCGGCTTCAATTATTAGTTGAATTTCATTTCCAAATGCACATTCAAACCTTTGAAATTTTTTGAACCTTCAACTGTTAACCTGTATAATCATGTGAATTGTACAGCTGCTTCTCTTAGTCTCCCTTCAGCTGGCCACCTATTGCTCTTCTTATTAACTAGAAGCATCCTGTCTTAAATTAGGTCCCCTTGCTGCAAACACTTAAACCTGTATTTATTTTTACACACATCAGTTTTAGTGCTTTCAGTGAGATTACTGATGTGTGTAACCGTAAGCACTTTGTAAATCTTCGTAGGGTAGGGGGATTAGATTACAAGGTTTTGGTTTAAAAACTGTCTTCCTACAATGGGGCCCTGATCCTGACCAGGCTGCTGGATGCTACATCATAAATTGTTAGATGTAATTTATTGGGAATAAAGGAGCTGTCCAGGTATTATTGAGAACAAAATAAGTCTGTGAGGTTTTGTATTCTGACCTACAAAATATTATAATTGATGCTAATGGGTGAGAAAGTAATGTGGCAGTAGAAACCTTTAAATTCTATATTCCTTACATGTTCATAACAACTATCTAGCCTTACTATAATAGATTTATATTTGATTTAATTTGGCTTTGCAAAATCAAGAAAAAAAACCAAAACCTGAAGGTGGCTACTAAAGTGACCAGTGACTTCAGGTCTTTCAATTTATAGGTGGCAAACTTTGGAATAGGCTTCCCAGAGAGGTGGTGCTCTCACCTTCCCTGGAAATCTTCAAGAGGAGACTGAACAGGTACCTGGCTGGGGTCTTATGACCCCTCCCACCCCCAGTGCTCATTCCTGCCCATGGCAGGGGGTCGGACTAGATGATCTGTCTAGGTCCCTTCCGACTCATTGATTCTATGATTCTATAACTTGTTAACATGAAAGGCGGTGATTTCTAGAAACACTCTGAGCATGGATTGTTTGAACTCTCTTGCACTTTTTTCATGACACCCAAAAGAAATACTTACTGGTTACTTCTGAAAATCCTGGCCTGTGTTCTTATTTAATATGTTATCATTTAATAGTCTTTTCTTAGAATCTTACAGTAAAAAGGGATTTCAGGGATCATATTATCTAAGCCCTTGCATAGCTGAAGGATTTGCTGTTTTCTAGCCTGTGGTTCTCAACTGTTTTGAAGTCTAGGCACCCCTTACTGAACTCAAGACACCCTTCCCCAATTTTTTTAATTAAGTGGCAATCAATTAAAAAAACTAATTTATATATTATAGTGATTACCTCCTTGCAGAAGGGCTGGACATAGGGGATGAGGAATTAGCTGGGAAGGGACAAGCCTTATCTGCTTATCTTCTTATGCCTGGTTTGTCTCCTCACAACTTCCTGCACCCTTCAAAGGATCTGGTGGCACCCCGGGATACTGCAGCATCCAGGCTGAGAATCACTGTTCTAAGCCATCCTATACAGATGTCTACACTGACTCTTCTTCAAAGCCTCTAAAGAAGGAGATTCTATAACTTCCTTAAGCAGCTTGTTCTATTTTCTTACTGTTCTTATAGTTAAGAAGCTTTTCCTGAGCCTTAGTCTAATTTTTTCTTGCTGTTGTTGTTTGCACCCATTGTCCCTGTAGTCTAAACCCAAAGACTGTGCTTGCAGGGTGTTAAGTTTGAATGGCAGATAACCAGGGGTAAGTTCATGTCTTTGGTATTCCTACCATTTGGCCTGAAAGAGTATTTGGTACAAGGATGAAAAGGGCAGTCATGTATTTAGGCAATTTGGCTGCTTGCAGATGTTAAAAACAAACCAACCAACTAATTGGCACTTTACTTTAAACTTGGTGTGCTACCATGCGGAGCCCATTACATGCCCTGAAAAGGCAGCGCATTAATTGGACCCAGCTCACCCAACATCTGTATAGATCGGGTGCTTTAGTCGGGCTTTTTTGGTATTTTTATCAAATAGCTGATTGAATCTAATAGCTGATTGGAAGATTGTGGGCTTAACTGCTCAACAGTTCTGTGGGTAGAAAACTGGCTGCACAGCAGGACCCAGAGAGTTCTCATGAGTGGCTCTGTGTTGTCCTGGCAAGAAGTAGCCAGTGGTGTCCCTCAGGGGTCTGTGCTTGGACCGGTGCTTTTCAAGATCTTTATCACGGATTTGGATATGGGGGTGAAAAGCTCACTGGCAAAGCTTGCAGATGACACCAAGTTATGGTGTGGTCATACCAGAAGATAGGTTGCAGATACAGGCGGACCTGGACAGGCTGGAGAGTTGGGTGAACCAGAACCAGATGAAGTTCAACACTCAGAAGTGTAAGGTACTCCATCTGGAGACAAACAATCCCCAATGTACCTACAGGTTGCGTGGCGAAAATTTGACTTGCACCATGGCTGAAAGAGACCTGGGGGTGTAGTGATCGACCATCGCGTGAACATGAGCCAGCAGTGTGATGCTGTGGCCAGCAGGGCAAACAACACGCTGGCATGCATTAATCGTTGCATCTCATGCACAGTTAACTGATATTCCCACTGTAGTCTGCACTGGTGAGACCACAGCTGGAGTACTGCGTATGGTTCTGGGTGCCGCACTTCAACAAGGATGTGTAAAACTTGAGAGGGTCCAGAGAAGAGCCACCCATAAGATCAGGGACTTGCAAGACAAGCCATACAAGGACAGGCTGATGGACTTGGGCCTCTTCAGCCTATAGAAGAGAAGGCTGAGAGGGGACTTGGTAGCGGCTTACCACTACATCAGGGGAGTACATCAAGAACTCAGTGAACAGCTGTTCACCAGGGCACCCCTGGGAAAGACCAGGAGCAATGGATACAAACTCCTGGAAGGCTGCTTCAGGCTCAATTCCAGGAAAAACTCCTTCACAGTCAGGCTGTCCAGACTGTGGAATAAACTTCCTCCAGTGGTGGTGAAGTCACCTACCCTGGAAATCTTCAAAAGGGGACTGGACAATTACCTTGCTGGGGTCACTTGACCCCAGTTGTTTCTTTCTGCCTAGTGCAGGGGGACAGAACCTGATGAACTACAAGGTCCCTTCCAGCCCCTAACAATCTATGAATCGGCTTTAGATAAAAGTACGAAAAAGCCCTGTTAAAGCTCCTGGTCTATACAGATGCTGCAGAGCTGGATTAAAGCAACAGGCTGCTTTTTCCAGTAAAGCACGGGTTATGTTGGTTTTTTTGTTTTTGTTTTCTAAATGTTTGCAAGCAGCCTTGATGTTTGGGCTTTACAGTGAAAAAGAAAAACTTTTGTTCTAAATGAAAGCCTTTGAATGTGCAGAAAAGTTAAGAAACCTCTAATTTTGCTGTACTCTAAGTGTGGGATATGTTACATTTTATTTTTTTAATATGTTTCTTTTTTTTCTCCCTGTGGGTTTTGCTGAGATGTTAACATTTGCATGTTACAAAGACATTTTTAGTCTTTTACCAGTTTTGTTAGCAGCTCTTTTTCTGCTTGCTAATTTGGAAAAAGTGAAAATACGTTTGGTATGACACCAGGCGTAAAGGGTAAAATTTTCAGAAAACGTCTTGCTTTCATTGAAGCATCTGAGAACATAAGTCATTCTTTACCCACTGTTTTCATTAGGATAACGAAGCTTTAGAGAACACTTACGTTCCATCTCCATCAGGCTATACCCCACCTCCCAAAGATCTTTGCTAAAGATTTATAATCATCTTTGAGTCCAGATCAAATGGAAAATTCCAGCATAGAAGACAAATATTTTATTGATAAATTTCTGAAAATATAAAGCAAGGGGTTTTAATTAAAAGTGTTTTGAAACAGGCTTGAAAGAGAGTGGTGTTCTTGGGTCAGATAAGAAGGAAAAGATGCAGGAAGAACTGCTTTATTTTCCCCCTTGTACCATCCTAGAACAGACTGATATGTAACTTTCAAACAACAGTAAAAGTGCAGCTGTATAACTGTTACTTGCAATAATATTGTTTCTCAAGTGTGTGCTTTTTCTCTAATACTTGGAAAAAGTAGTAAAAGAACAACATTTCTCTTTTCTTCTAAGGGTACTATTGTGCAAGTGTCAGATCATACAGTGTTCTATCACTCTGTATATTCTGTTGGACAATCCCTTTCCTAGAATGAAATGCATCTACTTCAGGTGTCAAGGAAACATCAATCTACTGTGTCAAGGTTTTCATATTGTAAGGCCCAAAAGAACCACTGACCAGTCTACCTTGACATGCAAGTTATAGAATTTTATCCAGTAGTTCCTGCATTAAGCCCAGTAACTTGTGTATTTGGACCAGCTTACAATATAAGTAAAATAACCTAAACACTTCCTTTTACCAAATCAAGCCTATCTTGAAACTTTAAAATAGCTAAAGAAATGAAAACAGATCTGGTGAAATATACATAGAAATATTTTAGATTCTGTTAGATGACACAGACTGTAACAAATCCTAGAATTGCATTCCTCATTGGTGACTGACTGGTAGGATGTATTCTACCCAAAACTAAACCCCCTTCCTCCCTACCCACCCCCATCTCTCTCCATCCCCTGGCTTGGGGGAAAAATTCAGTATCTGACAAATTCAAAACCCAAGCACCTCACAGCGAAAGGTGTAACAAGGTCTTATGGAAGCACTGCAGCAACACTTCCAAATTAAAAGATTTAAGCTTTCATGTGCGCACACAGATGCATGCACACAGTTTTGAGAGGAATTTTTAGACAGGTTTAATCAAGTCTGTTTAAAAAAAATCCTTTTGTATTCTGTCTGTGGCTGAATTGGTTTCCCGGAATTGAAACCACTTATGCCTGATTAAGTAACATCAGGGAAAGAAAAGAGATGGGTTAAAACTGAAACTTGTAAAGCTAAACAACTCTCACCCTTCTCAAAATTGATATAAAATAAATGTTTATGTACATATAATATGGTAGCATGTTCAGACTGAGTAATGAAACTAATCCTTCCTTCCAGGTAGTAACTATTATTGTAAACAAAGTAAGTGCAGCTATAGTAATGGTAGTTACTTCTAATGAAAACAATTGCACATCAATTTTCTGGATGTAAGGTAGGAGTTCCAACTTGGCTTATCGATCGGCAATCAGGAATGCAGTACCTGCAGTTACACTGAAAAAGGATGGGTTTGATTTATCAATGCTCCAATTCTGAACAGATTACTAAATGCTAATGATTTAATCAGTATTCTTGAAACTGGTATAAAAAACAATTTCTTCTATATGTTCCCCCCCCCCTTTTTTTCAGTCATGTGAGTAAAAGATCATGCTTTGTACGGGCTGGATTCTCAGCTATTTGCTCTTATTACAGCAGTGTGGACTGCTGTACACCAGTGTGATGCTTATATCAGTGGAAGAGAGTAAAGAAATCAGTTAGGGCATGAACATGCATAACAATCAGAATGGTTTAAATGTGGTTTAAACCTGAAGCAGCCAGACATACAAGCCTGTTAAACTGGTTTAAAAGCCACCTAGAATTGTTCAAAAGTATACATGGAAAATCTATTTTGAATTGGTTCACTGTGAACTGGTTCAGTGTTATGTGTAGCCACCAACCGTTCTGTGACAAGGGTCTCCTGGCATCCCACACTGCATCACAATCTCTTTTCCTTCCCACCCTCCCCTGCCCCCACAGCTTCAGTTGGCTACTCTGGTATGCAGAGAGGACTCTATGATTCCCTTTTTTCCTCTTGTTGACACTTTTAATCAATGAGCACCCCTGTGCTGCTGCTTCAATAAAAGCCATTTTTCTAACAACTAACTGTGTCCATGTAACTGCAACTCCTCATGACGCTTCACTCCCTTCCCTGCAAACCTAGAAACTAAAAATCATGGGCCCAAGCAACTCTGGGGCCCCCTCTCTCCACCCCTTCTCCCAGTCAGGCAAGCATGCTGCAGACTGTTGGTTGCAGACTATTGCAGTTTATTGAATTAATGTTCAGGAGAGAAGGGAACGTAGAAAACCCCAGCCATAGGTGACCAACCCCCACTCTGCTCCTGCCCCATTCTATCCCCATCCCCACAGTAAAGCATGCTGGACTGGGTGCTCACTCCCACCCCAGCACTTTGCACGGTTGTCAACCAGTTCCCATTTAGTGTCATTTTGAAACAGTTTGATTGCTATGAGTGGTTGCACCTTTACATTCAATACTCTGCCACCAACTGTGCAATCTTGATCAGTTTGACCTCTCTAAGCCTTAGCTTTCTCATTTGGTTATTCATTAATGAGGACTCTGAAAGGGAAGAGCAAGGAGACTGGTAGTGGAGTGCTGAATACAATTTCCCACACCTCATTCTCAGAGTTGCTTATTGAAAAGGGCAGGGGTTTGGAGCTGAGAAAAAGGCTAGGACATCCAGCTGTAGAGCAGAGTGGATAATAATTAACTATTATTAAGGCACTATGAGATCTCTGACATGCCATTTTAGTTTGAGTAATTCTTATATTTATTAGCTATTCAGTATTGAGGAGGAATTGCCCTTTGGGTAAAGGAAGAGTCTAACTCTAATCTTGACATTCTGTCCGAGCTATGATAGGCAGCTGTAATACAGGTACTACTGTTCTCCAGCCCTGCGTCTCCCAGCACATATTGGTGCAAGTCAATTTGTAGAAGAAACTTCACAAAATGTTAACATCATTTATTTTTGTTTCACAGCAAACTGCCAACTAGAAATAGCCTAATTGGCTGGGCATATGGCAGGGGGTCATGTTCTAATGAACATGTAGCTCAGAAATCTGAAGAAGAGTGGACGTGTATGCTCTGTACTCTAATAAACAAGCCTTCTGCTAAGTTCTGTGATGCCTGTTTGACTTCAAGGCCTGAAGGTAATGAAGGTTTGGGGTGTTTGTTTTGTATTGTATTTACATAAAATGTTGTGGGAAATGGTATCTTGTAGGTGAATTGAAAACCTTTTGTTCTTTTATTTGTTTCATGGTTGTATTTTTTAAGTTTAAGGCCAAACTTGAAGGCCAGACTTTTGGAGGATGTAACATAAAATATAACCTTGTGAACTGCATGCTTGAATAATAGCGTGTTTAATATTTAACATGGATACATACATGTGCAATTCATACACGAGTGATTTAACTGACCCTTTAAAGTCTAACATATAATTAAAAGTCTGATTCTGTAAAGTGCTGAACATTCTCATAACTCCCAGGGAAATCAGTGGAAGTTGGACACAGCTCAAGAAGCCCCAGGGAGACAGGTTCCCCCTCTTACAAAGAAGCCCTATGGCACAGAGAAGAAATGTGACAATGTTTCTGTCTTTCCTTCAGTTTTCTAGTGATAGGCCATGTGATTAGAAGTGTTAGGGAGTCCTAGCTGGATGCCAGAAAAATCCAAACCCCCAGAAATTCTTACCTTCAGAGAAGGGATAACTGTGGGCTCTGGTAGTAAATTATCCAGATAGCTGGGCTCCTACTGGAGTCTTACTTCTTTTGGCAAGATCTCCATGAGACTGCTCAGTAGCTGCTGTGGAGGGGACCTAGAGAGAGGGAGAGAAAATAGTACGTATTGAAATAAATATCCATCTATCTAGAAGCCTATGCATCAAACAAGGAGTGGTGAAGCAGAAAGCAGATTTTCCTCCTCTGTTTTTTTCCAGACCCAGTCCTTTTATAGATCCCTGCATTGGAACATTGATGTAGGGGAGGAATAGAATCCTGCTTCCAATCCTTCATGTTAAAAGGAAGGACTCAGCTCAAGAGGCAGGCTCAGAAATCTTTGGATTGTTATGGGTATCTCAGGAATCTTCATTGTAAGCTCAGGCATTGTGTTTTTCAGGGGGGGAAACTTCTTACAGTACAGTGGTATGTGCCATTTTTACCTACAAAACAGATCTATATCTGTTGCACTACACTATGCTTAATGAATTATTCAGTAAAGCTTTATTTGGCAGATTTCAGCAACTTAATGCATTATTCTTCAGTCCTAATGTTTCATAAACTTGAGATGGAATAGATTATTTAGAGAAGAAATCATACAGCTGGAAAGGATGAATGTTCCTACTGCATCCTGTATTCCATGCCCCAATATTAAAATTTCACTGAGTTTAAATACATCATTCAAAGTGTATATGCCCAAGAAATTGTCTTAGCTGATTAGGGAACTTTTGACACACAATCCCTACAATATGTCTAAGTTGCCTACTCAGTTTAAAAATCTCAGACATGGTGCTGATCGCTACATTTCTACTAACTTTTTAAAACACTTTTAAAACTTGTAGTTCATTTCACGTGTCTTTTTGTAGCGAGGAGTAGAATGTGTTGCTCTCCTGTGTCATGCTTAGCTGGCATAACTTTCTTTCCCCAGGCCAGGAAAGAAGAGCAAGTATCTGCAGATAGCACAGATTTCTGTAGCCAGTAGAGGCTAATCTCACTGGCAATTTTCTTTCAAAAATCCCAGTGCCAGGAATCTGAATGCCTTAGTCTGTCCACAAATTCAGATTTGCCAATTAACTTCTCTCCTGGAATTTATACAGCCATCTGGTTTTCTAAAATGTGCAGCAGTTTTTGTACAATAAAGGCTCTTGAGCTTAGTTTTAGAACAAAATCCTGATTATTCTGTATCTTTTTTTCCATCTTAGTTGTACAGCTCTAAGATGCCATCAAAGACTGAGGTTTGGAGTTTGAGGATTTGGTTAATAACTTTGTTTACAAATTTCAAAAAAAAAATTATGTATGATTTTGTATTTCAGGAATTGGTATGAAATGTGACTTTAATGGCCGGCTTTATTTGGCTTTTTTTCTGAAGCTTGAGATTCCTGGTCCATGTGTGGTCTGCTGCTTTTATACTGCTATTTTGCTTCCTAATTTAGTTAATGTTTGTAGGAGGACCTTGCCCCGAAAAGCAGCCATGACATCCCCTGGTGGCCATATTACCTCTGCCTCACCTTTGCTCCTTAGAGTACCCTCCCTTGTTGGTTTTTCCTGCCATGCCTTGATAGATATTTTCATTCTTAGGGAGGCTGCCCCCAGGACCCTGAAGTGAGCCTCAGCTCACCTCTTTACCAACTTACATACCTAGTTGTCATTAGTCTTGCCCTGAGGTAGTAAATCGCCTTAGAGGGTTCCAGCGTCCACGTAGCCATGACCATGCCTTGCAAGTCTTACTCTTCACCAGCCTATGTAGGCTTCAGCCATCTTGGCCTTAGCCTGCTGGTTGCTCTGGTTGGAGACTTCTAGCCTAGGCCCACTTGCTCTGGCTTGGCTTCTGGGTTCCAGCCTGCCTGCATGTCTTTCTCTGTCCTGTCAGGCCTTTGGCCCTTTTCGTCTTGGCCTGTCTCGCTCTGGCTCTGATCAGGCCTTTGGTCCGCTCAGCCCTAGCTTATCCCTCCATCTCACCCTCGGCGTGCAGACTCTGGCTTTCTTAGCTTTAGCCTGTCTGTCTTGCCTTAAGGGTGCAGGCTCTGGCCCTCTAGGCTTTAGCCCACTCCTGTTAAGGCTCAGAACCTGGAAACCTGGAGTGCCTCCTGTTCACCTCTACAGCCACAATCCAGTCCTCTAATCTAAACTGCAACCAAAATGTTAGCAACCTTCAAATAAAATTCTCAAAGCCCATCTGGGTGCTCATCATTTGACTACAGAAGCCCCCTCCCCTCTGGGGCCCATCATTTGACTACAGAAGCCCCCTCCCCTCTTGCTGGCTGCCTCCTAGCCCATGGAGTACATCCTGCCTTGCAGTTTTTGCTCCCTGACAGCTTAGGCAGAGTTCAAAGCAGTACTGTCGTCTCTGTCTCAGGGACCCAGGTTTATATTCCCTGAGCTCCTCCTCAACTAGTCAGGTGTTCCCCTAACCAGCAGCAGGTATGCACCCTAGACCTAATGAGTTATTCTCTTTACTGAACTGCACTTCTTTCTCTCCTTCCTACTTGGCACCCTGTCCTATTGGCCTGTTTCTCTGCAGCTGGCTACTAGGTAGGTCTTTGCATCCCTGTGGCTCCCTAGCTGCCTATCCTGCAGCTAGCCCAGGTTCAGCTGCCTGATCCTGCCTGTGGGCCCTATCTTGTGCACTCTCCATCTTAAAGTAACACTAACCCCCATGTTACAATGCTTTTAAAGTATTTTGAAGTTTTTGGAAGAAAGACAGTATATAAGGTATGTAAAGATTTAAAGTTTCTAAGGACATGTCAGTTCTTCGGCATAAAGTGTTGCATATAGAATCATTAATTGTATAACCACAGCTGTTGGAGAGAAGTTATTTGCCCGTAACTCAAATTCTTCATTTTCTTTCCTTATGGCAAATCCTACCTACCTACTATTCGTCCTCCTTGAACTGACTTCAGGGTGCTAAAACCAGTTTGATTCCACTGTATAGCAGAACCAAAATACAAGGAGATTGCACCTTTGTGCGCTATGAAACAAATCTATCTTAGAGAGTCTTGTTTTATTTCCCTGAGGGTAGTCACCTTTGTGCTGCTATAAACATTTTTATATGGCAGCATGAAGGCGAAGCACACAGACACCCATCCCCCTTGTCGCTTCACAAATGCCCAAAATTTGTGGTTGCAACATGGGTGGTATCAATTTGTGTCACTTTATTGCAGCAGGCATCTGTTAGGTTTATCGCAGGACAGCATGGTCAGCCCAGACCTGCCTGTGCTCTCCAGCTACCCTGAGCAGGCACTTTCAGGGATTCAGGGGCCCAATCCTTCGTGCCTTGAGAATGAGACTTTCTAGGGCAGGGGTGGGCAAAATGCAGCCTG